GGCGCACCAGCCTTTCTCTCGAGGAACTGTTTCGACACACCAACCGGGCCCACACAGAAGGAGGAAGACCAGGAAGGTCACCGGAGTGAACAGTAGGGGGGGGGGGCATCGTAAAACTTCAGTCAACGAAACTCTTCGGTCTTGGAAAAAGAGTAAACAATTTTAGCTTCCATGGATATCAGGTCTTGATAGCGAGGATCGCGGAATGTAAGCATTTGATTGGATGAAACATCCTGCGCCGGGCAGGAGTCCTCCCCTCGTGTGAAAGGGGTCGGGAGAACACCCGGTGTGCCGTTTCGGGTTGGGTTTTGAATGCATCTGGAGGGGGTAGGACCTTCCGTCTCGGGGATGATAAAATTGACAGTATGTCCCCCCCAAACAAACAAATACAGTTGAACGATTGTGACGCCCTAAACTCTGTGGGTTGGATTGTGCGAAAAATACACCATCGCGGTCCCGAATATATTAAGGCGAAGGGCCTACGTGACAATTACAAGTTTCGCACATGGCACTCCAACCAACCTCGACAGCAGCAACAGCAACAAGAGAGAAATCAACAGCAACCGTAGCCTGCTTGTGACGTTCGCTTGATTAGGTAACGCCAAAAGATACGAAGCCCTAGAAGAAGTCGGTATCATCCAAAGCATGCACAATAACAACAACAACGACAATGGTCGTCTATAGATTCGTGGCTGCGATGCCAACACACCCGCGCGGCGCAAAACATAGTTCAATTCCTTACCTTGGATGGCGGGGCATGCTCTGACTCCCAGCATGCCCCGGAAGTCGTAAGCAAGCTGAGAGTCGTGGTAGGACTCGTTGTGCGAGAAGATTCCGTCCATGGCGGAAGCTCCGCTGAGGTACCACTGCACGTCCTCGTTGGCAAGGCCGACCTCGAGTGCCTGGTTGTTTCGGCGACCGGAGTGCGTGTGAGTGGGAGGCTTATCGCGCTGGTGAATACTCTGAAACAAATTAACCAACGAAGCCGTCTTGTCTGAACGCGCCCACGTATTCCGGACAAAATGAAACAGCTCTGCACTCATCTTGTATGCCTTCGGACACTGTTGCGAGCTACATTACAGGGGTGGGGGGTGTGACACACCTGCTCAAGCACCGATCTGACGAAAGTACCGTCGTAGCCCTCGGACAGGAGAACCACAATGGACGCACGGTCCTCCACCAAGGCTGACAAGGTCGGTCGGTAGTCTGTCCCCAGGATCGTGTTCACCGGCTCGCTGAAAACATTGTTATTGTTGTTGTTGGTGATTTTTTATCATGTTGTTGTTAGTGTCGTTGATATCGTTGTTGTTGTGATCGTGATGCTGATGTTGTTGGTATTGGTGATGGTGGTATTGATATTGATGATGTTGATGTTGAGGTGTCGATACTGCTGTTGGCAGCCGTCGTAGGCTAAGCTAGCAGCTGTGTTGCCTTTGCTGATGTTGTTTTCGTGCCGCCACAAAATTCAGGTCGCCCACCTACGGTACATACCTCTTCGCGAGCTCAATTGACGACGGCATTTCCCCCGCCGCAGTGGAGTCAATGTTCATCCCCTCCGTCCGTCTCACGGCGCGAACGAACGCGGAGGCGGCAACAGCCCCGTATGTGTCGTCGGAGTATATCATGGACACACGCTCGGTGGTGCGGTACCTGGCATCATGTTCAGACAGCAACGAGCCAGCAGGGGAGGCACAGACTCTTTCGGACGTTCGTCAGCGACAGTTTGTCATCTGCGTAGAAGGCCTATCGAGACGATAAAACCTTTAAGTCTTGCGTGCCACCGAAGTTTGCAAGGGATGAGGTGGGGATTACGTGATCGTTGTTGTCTGGCACATCGTCCTCTACTTGCAGGTATGTCGGGTTTTTTCCGTGTGTGGAGCAATTGAGCTTTGGAAGTCGCAATGGAAGGATATCCTGCCGCTTGAACGTGTCCTCACATTTGCGTTCCTCCTGTTCGCGATAGTGTCAAAGAGGTCGACCAAGTGTTGCTGGTGACCCCGACCCGCATGACAATATTTTCTTCCCTGAAACATTCACGCCGGAATGTCTGCTACACAGCGAATGGGTGGTACAACGTAAGCATCGAGAACAGAGCAACCGCAACCATCGTCCTGTGACCTTGGGACGAAGGGCTAGCGTGTGGACAGATATATCGCGAAGGTAGTTGTGCAGCCCGAACATGTCAACGACAACGCCCGCGATGCCAACCAGACCTAGAGCCAACAACAACAGCAATAACAGCGATACAAACATCACCACCACCACCACCACAAACAACCACGACACCGACCACAACCGCGACACTAACCAGACTTTGTGAAACACCACTGCCACCACTGCCACCCCCACCGCAACCACACCACCACCACCAACAAACAGCAACAACAACAACGACACCGCCAGCAACCACGACGCCACCACCACTACCACCAATCACAACAAGAAGGACACCAGCAACAACTGCGGCAATAACAAGACCCTTCGAAACCAACGCTACCACCAACAGCAAGGTAGTCTCACCAGCCGCGATCCAGGTCTCTCTCCACCTTCATATCCAGGATCAGCCTCGCGAGCGCCTCCATCTCCGAGAAAACGTCCGGCTGGACGCCGAAGAGGTAGCTCCCCTTCCCCCCCAGGCCGTACGCCCCCGAAGAAAAGTACGTGTTGGCCCGGGCGGCCGAGGCGGAGGGGGTCACCATCGGCAGACCGAAAAAGTCGTTGGAAACCGTCTCCAGCAAGGACGCCTGCGAAGACAACATCGGGCCAACGATCTAGGCGCGTATCGGAGGGGGGGGGGGGGGGGGGCGGGAGCGGGACGGTGAGTGTGGCGTGGTATTAGTTTGGATGGAGACCGTAGCGCCGAACCACTGCCTCTCCTCGGCCATGCCCTAGTTTGTTTATTCTCCCGCTTTCGATTCGAGGTGAATTTTGAGTGATCGATGTATGTGCCGTGCGTGTATCTACCGTACGTTGTATAGAGGATATCACACTCCGTGTGCCGAACATCGAACATCGATTGCGCTGCAGCACAACCAGTGACAGTGCCGAAAATATCTTCGTTTGGAACCATTCCCCGCCGCATTGCGAAAACGTATCGTTCGATTGCAGTATCCTCGTCGTCGTGGAGTATTCGAGCTTTAACAGCCGTGTCCGTGGGGGTGGTATGTGGTATATTACGCCACATGCGGTACTAGGGTTAAGGATTGGCCCCCCGCCCCCCAATGGGGCTGGGGGCCAACATCCAGGACCGATGGTGGTGAGTGTCCGGCAGGAAGGGAAGAAGAAGAAGAAGAAGGGGAGAGGATTGTAGGGGCGGGAAGAAGGGACGGTGTTGGGAGAGGCAAGGAAGTGGTGACGAATTTCGGCACTCGACAAGCGCGCGGTCCCGTCGGGGGTGAAAGGGACATACATGTCAGTCCGTAGTCTTGCCTATCGGAATCGAAAAGCCGAAAAATCGAGGTTTACATTATGTACATAACGATGGAGAAGGCCGACGAGGAAGGTACGAAGAGAGGAAATTGCACCCCACGTTCGTTCGAAGTCGGTGTGAAAACCGCCGCAAGGAAGGAGTGCCAAGGAAAACAAAAAAAGGAGACGTCGACGTTTGCGTCGTGGAACGATCCTTTCGTATAACGCAGGTACTCACCAATGCAAGACGGGGGGGTAAAATACCCATCGTGAAAGTCAAAGCGCAGGTCATAACCTACAATACTTATGACTCATGCGCGGAGAAGTTACCACGGAGACTTATCAACAAGAAGTTTGAAGGCCGGCTGAGGAGGTTTGAAGACACAAGCACTTAAGCGACGATGGCAAGCGCAACGTCACTTCACAAGAGGAAAAGTGCATACAAAAAAAGAACAGGCCGGATGCCGACCTATTATGGCTCTCTCGGAATGAAGGGATTCCCACAATTTACAACAGGTAATCCACAAGTAAGTACGGACATTATGAAGTTACTGGGCAGAGAGAGATCGGAACGGTTTTTAATGTGAAGATACAAAAACAACACCTAACAATGATGAAGGCCGACCGTCCTGCGTCGTTCGGTGTAAAATGGTAAATGCGAAAGATGGACTGCGTAAAGATCCAGCGGTCGTTTTCGGCAGTGGCAAAGAAATGGAGTATGCAACCACATGACGCAAAAAAAAAAACAAGTTGAGCGGGATACTGAGTAAATAGAACACCGCCTTCGCTGTTGTTGCAGGCAGGTTTGCTTCCACAACCCGGGAGCCCAACCCACTCTTGTATTTCGGCCTACAAGACTCCAATCGACACAAGCACCGGTAGGAGAGTGCGTGGGAGATGCCGTGACAGCACAACTCCACTCTCCTACGACATCTATGTACAGTAGTACTGCTGTCGTTGTAGCACCATGTGGAAGATCTCCGAATGGTCCTCCTGCGCGCGGTAACGACAACATGGCGAGAGCTCTACGTGTACCTGTCGTCGACACATGTGGCAGCCGCGCGAGACACGAACGGATGTTTGCATCGCATTGTACTATGGTTCGCCGTGGCAGGAAGTATCCCATCCAGTTAGGTCGTTGCGGTAGTACGCGGACGTCGTTCGGCGTCTAGTCCATACTGCTGTTGCAAAAACACAGCAGAGTAATCGAGCTATGCTGCAATTTTTTGCTCAGGTTCACTTTTGCCTCCACAACCCGAGAATCCCACTGCTGTATCTCGACCTACAAGACTCCAATCAACAAACCAGCACTGGCAGAAGTGCGTGGAAGATGCTGTGACAGCACAACTAAGTCGACACTCGGCAACTTCTATGTACAGTCGGCGTCTGGTCTAATCGGTTTACCGATTAAAAGATATGCTCTGAGCTCGTTAACACCCGGCCGGATCACATGGTCTTGATGCTTTTTGCGGCTTAATCA